ATGCCAATATTCCAGGCCAGCACTGAGGGATCTCAGTCTATTGAGGCCCTGGGTACGCCTCCTCCTCCTGTATCCTGATCGCCAGAAAAGATAGATAAACATCTGGAAGCTCAGATACAGATCACGGTTTTAGGCAAATCAAACAACCCTGCTGAACTCATCACTCGGGNTTTTTTTGACACTGATGGGTTTCAGTCAGTGCCTGCAGCAGATTCAGTGTTGGGGTTTGTGTGCTGCTACAACAACAAAATTCCATTTCTATAGCGCCTTTCATGTCAGGAGGACGTCCCAAGGCGCTGGAAAATCAGTGTTTCGGACCTGAGCTGGGGGTCGGGATTGGGAGAGTGGGGGTCCGGGGGTGGGGGGGGAGGAAAGTGACGGTCAAAGAGGAGGATCTTGAAGGAGGCAAGGGAGGGACCACGGGGTGGAATTCCAGAGGGTACGAGCAGAGTGGCTGAAGGCCTGCCCGCCAATAGTGGGGCAGGTGAGGCAGGGGACGTAAAGCAGGCCGGAGCCCACTGAGCGGAGTGAGTGGGCAGGTTGGTAGGGGGTTAGGAGATCGCAGAGGGGGAGCAAGGCCATGGAGGGCTTTGAAGGTGAGGACTAGGATCTTGAACTGTATCCTCTGTGTGACGGGAAGCCAGTGGAGTCGGACGAGGATGGGGTTGATAGGGTCACAAAGCCCGGTGTGGGAGAGGACACGGGCTGCACAGTTCTGGATGATCTGCAATGATTTGGAACACGATTGGTTAATAACGACTCCAAGTCACACTTAGCCACTTCTGCTGGCAACCAGAATTCCACTGAACCCAGCCACAAGATTAGATTGTGTTGGGTCAGCATGCTGCATTTCCGGATATCGAAAGGAGTTATCATTGGCGATTCGTAGTCATTAACAAATCTTAGACCTGCTGCCAAGGCCCTGAGAGAATGTTTAGTGAGTTTCCTTAGAGGAGAATCTTCTGTCAGTTTGTGATAAGATTCACTGTTGCAGGGTTGAATATAATACTTATTGTGGGTTGCTACTGATCAGGAGCACATTTCTAATTGGAGTTGAGATGGCTGGGTGGGATTAAGCTTTAAAACTGTACCATCAGAGGTGCCAACAATGCCAATTGTTTTTAGCCAAAGATCTAAAGGTTTGTGCGAGATGCTAAAGAAGAATAGTTTTATTGCTCCATGTTGAATCACAGAATGCTAGCTTAGAAAGCACTTTGAGACGTCTCAATGACGTTATAAGGTTCTATATCAAATGCAAGGTTTATCATTATTATTACTGGTGCATCTTTGTGAGTTCAGTGGTATCTGCAATGAAATCTGACCTTATATTGGAGAATCATCTTTTTGCAGAACAGGAACATGAGGGCCTACATCTGGGGAAGTTGGAGCACGGTATTCTTGCGGTCAGGATGTCTTCCAGCAAACAGATGGTTTTGTTGTCAGCCTAAGCTAGGTTGGTAGCATTCTTGCTTCTGAGTCAGAGGTTGTGGGTTCACCAACAACAACCGCAATTGCATTTATATAGTGGCTTTCACTTCAGGAGGACATCCAAAGGCACTGGACAGTCAAAGGTTTGCATCCAAGCTCGGGTAGGATTCAGCAGAGGTGGGGGTGAAAAAGATGAGCGAAGGCACAATCAAACCCCGTGTTAGGGCTTTGAACTCATGTAGTGTAGATCAGGGTGGTCCAATGATGAGAACACAAATGGTTCATTAGTAGATGGGTTCAGACGGAAATAGGTATCATTTCTAAAAATAAAATGAGGAAAGACGGAGAATATTTTGTTCTGCTCTTTGTTCCTCGGCACTAATAGCAGAATGAAAAGTCTCACCCCATTTCTACTCCGAGTCAGGCTGCTGTTGGAGGGGAGGCAAATCAGAGATCATCCAGCTGCCAGCACAGAGTGCCACTCGCAAAGGTTTGGGAGAACATCAGCACACAGTTGATTAAGGCAATGACTGAAAAATTGGAATGTTACCTATGAAGTAACTGGAAGATAATTCATGTGATCCTTATCTTCAGAAAGTAGCAATGCATTATTCTGGAATGACACACTTAATTGCTTGGCATCTAACAGTGGGGGAACAATACTGAAGTCTATTGTAAAAGAACATCTAGCAAGTACAGTAATAGCAATAATTCAAAGAAAACAGGACTTTATGAAAGGCAGGTCATGCCTCACCAATCCACAGGAATTCTTTGCGGATGTAATTGAGATAGTGGCTGAAAGCAGCACAATTAATATTATGAATATGGATTTTCCGGAAGTATTTGTTAAAAACTCTCACAAAAATCCTGTGGCAAAAGTGAAAGTTCATGGGGATTAAGGACGATCTTGTAAGATGGAGAATATGTAGGTTTGATAACAGCAAACAGAAGGCAGTTATCGTATCAATAATAGCTCCAACTGGACATAGTACTGGCACCTCTACCGTTTATTGATGTGTTTGGGGCAGGTATTGCAATCAAAGAGCCCAGGCTTGCTGGGAATCACAGCTTTTATGAGAAAGCAAAATGTTCCAAAGGGATTGAGATAGTTATTTAATGTGAAAACACAACTTATTTTTTAAATGTTTCACACTTATGCTTAGTGACATTCGAGCCCTTGACCAGCAGGAAGGTTTGGACTCATTTCCTATCACCTGTCCTTTTTAAAAAAAACTTTGCGTACTATCATCGTAATAAGACCAAATCAATTGACAGTTCTAAGCTACGCTATAGCCCTGATTGAAGCCAGAGACTATTTTGATGAGAACACTGAGGTGAGAAGTTTGACAGGCGAGGCACACATGTTGAGCAAATAAAGTCTGGAGCACACTTGAGAGGTTTCGATGATGAGATAAACTGAGAGTGAATTTTGATCAGTTCCTAGCTATCCAATCCCCTAAGGTATTGCAGCCTCGTCCACGGTGTTTGTAAGATGTACAGCTTTAGCTCTGATGATCCTTTCCAGAGCTCTCCTGCTCGGATTTGCACGCTCCACTGCTGTCGCTAGTCAGGGTGTCTGTGCCACTCCACACCACGTGACAGGATGAGGTGGGGTTTACGACATATCACACCAGACAAGGTTACGATAGGGTCAGGCTCACAAGAGGCAGTTTTACCAAAAAAAACATTGATTTAGTAATCTATGTATTATGATATATTCAGTTCATTATTGCTAGTCGAATCTTTTATTGAGGCACCTAGGTGAAAGGCCAAAACCCGCAGTGCAGAGCTTTATAGTTCCAAAGCAGAAATGTGGGTGAAGTTAGCAATCGATCCACATTATACAGTAGGTGATTACAGTTTTGCTATTGACCCATTACAGCAACGGAGCCCCCAGGCGTGAGCATCACATCTTTAATCTCGTCATTTACACTTCCTCTGTCTAAACACTCAGTGCTTGAGTGAACAGTCATGACAGATTTAAAGGTTAACATTTTAGAGATTCATTTGTCAACACCTCTGGGTGTATGTCTGGGAGAGCTGACCAAAAGCTGCACAGTAGCGACTGCCAGTTCAAACTCAGTAGACAATCCACATTGTGCAATTCGCAAACAGAATTGTCAACCAATGTGCAAGTTACAACATGTAGTTTTGTTCCTGTATGTAAAAATAAGAACAAGCAGAGGTTGACAGATAGCAACTTATTCTGATCTCAATGAACTAACTGAGGAGAAATTTGGGGCTAGAACACTACCATGGTGAATAGGTCCAAGGGATGTATCGTCCAAAGACTCAAACCCAACTGAGTCAATTGAGTCCAAGAGATGGGCAGCCTAGGATTCCAACCAAAGCAACAGAGTCCACAGACTAGTAATAAATCCAAAGCAAACCAAGCGGCCAAGGATACCCAGGATTCAAACCCAAGAAAGTCGATGGAGCCCAAGGTTTGAGCAGCTCCGGGATTTGAACCAAACCAAGGCAGTGGCAGCCCTGGGAAAGAACTGGATTCGAACAAGGAACTGGAACCTTCTGCAAAGCACCGTGACTAGAATTTGCAATCTTCCTGTTAGAATTCAAATGTCAAGTATTGACTCAGCAATCCCCATGAGGATACAAAGCCCATCACACTCACATTGTACTCTGCCATACTGCTCCTTGCCGGTCCAATCCCCCACCCCCATCCCTGTGACACCATGAATTTTAATTCCCTTCTGAATGTTTGAGGTCTGCATTTAAAACACAAGCTCTATAAATTAACAAATACAAAAGAAATTGCAACGCGTTCAATGGTGAGCTTCATGTCTCTTTCAAGAATAATCAAGGTTCCCATTGCTGACCCTACAGCAAGGTAAACTGGCAACAACTGTATTAAAACCTAATGAATTCATAAGATGAACAATGAAAAATAGTACACTATAACTCTCTGACTGTACATCTTCAGCAGAAGAATCTCTCCATCAGTTAACAGCAGGAGATGGTAACTAGAAAATACAATGCTGTTGCACAAGGATCCCCTTTCCTGGGACCCTCTAGGTTAAAACAGAGGAATGAATTTTCAGAGGTCAAATAAAAGAAATGTGTGTATGTATATATATATATACACACACACACACACATTTTCAGCCAGGGCATGGGTAAACTAAGTCAATAACTGCTTCTAACACAAGATATTGGATTTTGAGAAGCATGTTAACAGGGGGAAAAAAGAATCTATGAGAGAAAACGTCTTTTCTTTTTAAAAAAATTGACTCATTGAGTTAGCGAAGAAAGCATCCGAGGCTGTTGATATTAACATTTTAAAACATTTATCTTACTTTTAAAAGGTTAAGTTGGGTTTGGAAAAATCAACTGGAGTCTGTTCAGGACTGGAGCCAAAGCCTTGAGGGCACACATGTGCATTTTCCCAAAAGGGTCTTTGGTTTGCCTATTTTATAACTAGCCCTGCATAGCACAAGAGTTTGAAGCATATGGCTAGACAGATGCTTCTGGCTCCCATTCAAGGCTGACAGAAAAAAAAGAAAGAAAGAAAAAAAAGATGGAAAGTTTTTTTTTCAGTGAAGAGCCTTGGGTACCTGGATCTTTTCCTGTCTGCGCTGCTGTTCGGCAAATCTTTTTGCTAGCGCTTGCTTTTTTGCCCTCAGCTCCTTTATATCATCTTCTCCTCCACTGCCCTCGGGCTCGGAGTCTTGTGCCTCATATTCTTCAATGATGACATCTTCTTCCTGTGTGCAGAGGATTGGCAACAGAACTGAAGTGAGGAACAGTGAAAAATGAGACTGGTATTAACAAGATACAGCTAGGCCCTGCCATTTCCAATATTCAATCCTCTACATTAAACACAGACCTCAGCCAGGTCATATTCATTCCTCGATCGTAAATAATAGCTTGATAAAAATAAGAGCTGCCATAAAGCTCTGTAAACGTGGGTTACCAAGGGAAACCAGTAGCTCTCACAGTATAGCAGTCAACCCCAAGCTGATTTGCAAACCTGAATGCTGCCCCATATCTGAACTCACTTACTCTCATTGCAAGAGTTTGACAGAGCGCTGAAAGCTAGGCTCTGTGATAAAGCTGGACAGTGCGATAAAGCTGAACTATTGAGCATCAAACCAACTTACCTTCTGTGGAACAAGCAATATGCAGGTCAGAAGGGCAGCCTGCTCCACTGTAAACCCACCAGCAGTTGGCACCACAGCCCTGAGTAAATACTCCCCAATTCTTCACCTGACTATGTGAGATATTGCTCGTCTGCGGAAGGCTCACATGGCTCACATTCAGCATGGCTGCTCTAACGAGATACAGTACCATACTGTTCACTGCCAAGTACTCCCTTTTGAGTACCAAAAACACTATGATTTGATCTTTTTACTCTCACTTCTTAGAAATAAGATCGTACTGTTCTTTTCAGACTCACTGTTAGTTTCTCTTCCTTACTTTAGTTCTTTTCCTCTCATGAATTCTTGCCTGGCCAAGAATAATTTACCATCTGGAATAGGGAACTCATTGTGCCAGGCAAATTCAGGGGACAACTCTACATTCTACCGTTTCCTGGCATGCGAGACTGACGCACTTGTAGGAATTGAGAGAAATTTGTGCAGTTTTTAGTATTTACCTCTAGGTGCCGATAGCTGGAGTTGCTCAAGACTACAATTACAAAGTTGGCTGGGAACAAACGGTTGCTGCTCAGCTTCTCAAACTAACTACAATTTCCAACTAAACAGAATGCTGAATCCATTCCTCTAACTCACGCTGCACATGTTCAAGGCTCATGAGAAAATGTAGCCAAGGCTAATAGTATAGTACCACTCAAGTGGCTATTCTTCTATGACACATGAGGCTAGTCAGTGAGTGTTGGCAAGCTATTTCAGTGTGCAGAGCATCTCACAAAAGCCCTATTCTGTCCTGTCTTCGGTCAGTACGTATCTCTGTATGAACCTTGACCAATTTTATACTCAATTTCTTCACCCGGGGACACGATTGCCTTCTCTGAGATCAGCCAACTCAGCACAGATCAGGGATCAAACCTGGAGCTTTCTTAGTTCCTTGTCCTAGCATCACAGTTCTGAGCTATTAGGGAAAGCTTCTAAGACCCTTTTACTTTTCTTCTTCTTCTCCAACGATTAGAAGCAGAAGATGTTAAGCATTTAAAACAAAATGCTTATTTTTCTTTTAAAATCTCAAAGCCGAGAATTAGAACTCTCATTAAAACCCAGTGTTAAAAGTTTTCAAAACACCGGATCCTCACATGAAATCATACTGGCCCCCTTGTTTGGCTTAGTGCTGTTCCGTGGGATGTTGGTTGCACTGATAATGCACGGATCACAGCTGAGAACCAATACATGATCTCATCAAACGAGCAGTCCATTGAGAGTGGTTTGGAAGGACCATAATTTCACAATAAAACAGAAGTTAGCAGCAACTGAAGACTTTAAACTTCAGAACTCTGTAATTTTAATCACAAATTAATTACGATTCAGAACTTAAAGTGTTTCTTCTTTGCAATTTAGTTTGGAGAGATTTTTACTACAAGGTTCAGCTATTAACAAGACACTGTGGTACGAAGGGGAGCTTGAACTTATAAATGACTGAAAACAGACTTTTTAGTGTCTGGCCGAGGCCACATTTACGCTGTGTTGATATTGGATTCCGATGGTACAGACCCAATGGTTGGAAAAGTACCAGCATGGCTCAGACTATTGAGTTTGTTCTTTCACATCAGTTGAGTCTATAGCTTATGTACTGGAGAAGATACCTGTAGCACGCACAGGAACCTCTGAGGCACCAGAGCTGCTAAATCCAGCAGCTGCATACATATTCCCCCCCACCACCCCCAGTTAATGTGTCTGCCTGCTTTGTCATCTTTGGAGCAGGGAACCTTGCACTACACATGTGCCTTCTGCCAGCCATGCACACAGCCTTAGCGTCAGAATGACTTGACTACAACTCATTGTCTTGTGAAGAATACCCACTTGGGTGACGTACCGGTGGCCGTGGAACCATACCCCAGCACAAGCCAGTGCATTCGGCAGAAGGTAGGGTATTGGAGAGGGAACAACAGAAAATACTGGCAAAATAACTCGAGGTTCTCAAGACAAGCACCCTCTGAGTCATTAGACTTTAGAAGTCTGCCACTAGGATTTTTAGAGGGTCATTTGGGGGGAAAAACTACGACGACTGAAAGGAAACCTCCCAGAAAGTCACAGACAAGAATCATTTTTAATACAATTGCACATTTTGCCGTCACTCAACAATAAAGTGAGGAAATATATTCCAGAATGGTTAGTAAACTGGAGGCCAGAACAGTGGCTGGACTCACAGCTGCAAAGTGTGAAGTGTGTGTCTTATCCGCCACAAATTGTTCAGAACAGACCCAATTCTCTGACACAGTTGAGTTCCTCCTAACGTCAACTGTCACTACATCACTGCTGCTCATCCATTGTGGAAATGGCTGAGATTTGTTAGCGGAAAGAAAGCTGTCTCTTTCCCTTGATTCCTCAGTTAACACATGACGAGCAGCGGGAAAGCTTGCCAGACAATGCTATCAGTGGCAAGCTCTGTGGTTTTAGCTGGTTAGACTCCAGCAGTTACACCAACACACACTCTGGGGTCCCCAAGCTTTGGCTCTTGCCAACCTGCGCCTAATACTTTCCGGAATTAGGTAAGCAGGATGTGTCCCTCGAGGGAGAGAGAGAGAGAGAGAGAGACAGCGCATTCCATTCCAACAATCTCTCTCTGGGATTTCCATGTGCAGGTGGGATGCATGGAATTCTCAGTTTGCTTTGGATAATCTTAAACTTGGTGATGGGTTTCCATGTGTGTCAGACACCCGGGTGACCAAAAAATGAATAGCAAGCATTCCATTGAGAGGCCAAATTCAAATGATATGTGCTAATAAACAGACTCCAATGTGCATTCGTCCTTCAGTGGCAAATATTAAGATGCATTGTGTGTGTTCAAAAATCTAAAAAATTTTTGGGGAGGGGGGGGTGGAGGGTAGAGAAGAAGAGAGAGGTGGGGGAGGGGCACTGAAGTGAATAATCTCCAGATAAATTTGGTTATTCACTTTCTGACTCTTTGTGGGAGTTTGCTGTGCGCAAATTGGGTGTCATGTCTGCCTACAAAATACAGTCACCTCACTTTACAGTGAATCCTGTGAAGCGTTTGGAGATGTTTCGATGACGCGGTAAGGTGCAAAACCAAATGCAAGGATTATTATTAGAATCGAGTGCTGACTGCAAACTCCATTCTTGTTTAGCTGTTGTGCAATATGCCCGAAAATAGTCAGTATTGAACAAAATGGGGGAGAGTGCAGCTTTAAGGCACTAGATGCAAAGACTGCATAGAACAGGAACACCAGCAAAATCCCTAATCATATCAGGATGTGGGCTGCTGTTCAATTTTCCACACAAACCAATGAGTTTCTCTCTTCCTGTATCAGTGCTCCAGCTAGGCCCCCTGTGAAATCACTGCCACAGCTATAAACTTTATCCTACTCCTGAACCTTGGCCTCTCCGAGGTTAGCTCCATTAAATCATCCATTAAAAAAGTGAAATAGAAAACAGCATGTGGATCTCGTAGCAGCAGTGGAATTTCAGGAAATGGAATGAAAAAAAAACCCTCTGGTGTACTATACCTGATCCTCCAGTTGTTTTCCCTGCTGGCTTCCATCTTCCTTTCCCAGGCTGTCTGGGACGGGTGCCATTGACACATACTTTCCACCCTTGAATGCCAGCAGAGGTTCTTCTTGGCCACATAGGGCTTCCAGGAAGTACTTTAGCACTGTGACCCTCTTGCAGTCAGCTGCTATTGCCTACAGAATTGGAGGGTGGGGGTGGTGGGGGGGGGGGGAAGGAAACCAGAACATTAGGGAGAGGGGGAGAAAACACACACACACAAACACACAGAATCTTGGACAAGTGCCAAAAGGGATCATGAGAAACGTGTCAGACAGCATTGACAAGCTACCAGGAGGACATCTGAGGCTAGTCTGGGGAAAGCATCAAAAGCCACAGGGATGTCCACAAGGTTGTCTGCAGGCACGCACCAGAGAACTCACTACGTCCCACGAAAGTCACGTGAGAGGAACACAGAAAAAGGAAAAGCCAGCAACTCTGAGCGATTTAGAACGTAAAAAGGAAACTGAAAAGTATTTCCACAATAGCATCTACTTCCCCCTTTGTCTAATTTTAACCGAGCATTATCATACTGATTGTCAGCCACTTGACTCCAGCATGACCTGTGACCGCAAACCAGAGCCTTTGACTTGACCTTGTGCCAAGGGCACAGACATTAAGTCATTTTCTCCTGTGCGTTTTTTTCTCCCTGGTCAGGGGGTGCTCACTTAGGTTCACTCACACTTCCACAAAATGCTGACAGCTGACTGAAACAGAACCAGTTCCGCAACACTGATATTTGTTTTGTTGAAAAAAAAATGAGATGAAGTTAGGGACTTTTCCAGCTATTCCAACATCTGGGCAGTTTTTCATTTTACGGTGATTTCCTCCCTGTTTCTCTGGGTAAAAAAAAATGTACGCAGCCGATCATTTATACCAACTGTCAATTTCTCATCACCAAAAATTTCTAACTTGCAAATGTGTAAATGGCCTTTTAAGTTTGTTCCTTTTCAGAAAACATCTGGCATCTCACAGGAATGAATATATATTTTTAAAAATCGAGTCCTCATGTCTCAACTTCTTAAGCACTCGGAGATGCTACCCTGCATGAAGCACGCTATACAGTTGTTGTTGATGATGAATGTGCGCTCATAGTTCCCCAATAGTTTGGTGGGTAAACTCACTGTCCTGTTCAGCAATAACACTTTCCTGCTGTGCACAATTGGCTGCGTGTTTCGCCCACAAATTATATAGTCAATTCACTTTACAATATTTTCTCTGAAGTGCTTTGAGATGTCTTGTGATAAGGTGCTATATCAAATGCAAAGATTATTATTATTTTAAATTAAGCATTTCAATCCCTCATCTATGATGAGGTAGCTGATATCAGCAGTGGAGGTGGAGTGCTAGAGTTGGCCTCAGTGGCCTGGATTAATGGGGAACAGCAGGAGAAAGCAGCTAGGGTTCCCGCTCCATAACCAGTGATCCACAGGAAGGTGCACTCATGCAAGCAGGATTGGGCTCAATTCAAACGCCCTCAAATAGTTGAATATTCCTGCTGACATACACTGGGATCAAACAAAAGCAATAAAGGTGACCTACTGGAAGGCTGCCTGTGGAACCAAACCCCAATAAGTGTTCAGCACCTTCGTGAGGCGGGGAGAAAATTGGCAAAATGGGAGGAAAAAAAAGTGCTTTTGTTATCTCGCTCGTGCTAAGGCTTCCTTTTTCACCAGACACCCAGCTGAGTTTGCTCAATGCTACTTAGAACCGAAGATCTGTAAGACCTGGTTATAAACCCAAGCCCTAGATTTGACAGGGCAGCGTTCCAACCCACTGTATCCCCGCTGTCCACCATCAGAGAGAAGATCTTCAGCTTCTTGCTCATGGGCTGGATATGGATTTGCTGAAGGAAACGTGAACACTTGCCCAAATTCTCTTTGGGCACAGTCCAGTTTCACTTGATTAGTAATTTACAGACCTTGACCATTGTTAGTGTTTCCATACAAAGTGAAGAATTTTGCAAGGCGGCATTTCAAACATCATTCCGTTGGGAGTTATTTATGTGACTATAATGCCGCATAATACCAGAGCATTCCAACCAGTAATGACGTGTGAATACCAAGAGATGGCCGTGTTCTGCCAGTTTCTGCACTCAGATGCAAACCTGTATCAAACCGCACTTTCTGCACCTGGTTCCCATCAAATCTGCATCATAAACACTCCATCGAGAACACAAAGACTTAAATCGCTTTTTTTTTTAAACTCCCCTAAAGTGCAGAGTGAGACAAAAAAACAATTGCTCAAACCAACAAAGTCCTATAGTGCAGTGATTAGAGCACTCGCCTCGCAAGCAAGAGGACCCGGGTTCAATTCCCGGGTGGGGCGCAAATTTAGGCAAGTATCCAATAGAGCATGGATTTAACCAGCGCCTCTGAGTCCAGTGCATCTGAGTCCAGCGCCTTGGGACGTCCTCCCGACGTGAAAGGCGCTCTATAAATTCAATCTTGTTGTTGTTAACAGGGTAAGTGAAGGCAGTGCTGGTAAATTCAAGAGGGAGTTGGACAGATTTTTAGCCAAAACTACAATTGAAATGGATAAGAGATGAGTTTTGTTTGGTATCCTTTGAACTTCGATCAAAAAGATGGTAGGATAGGATCACAATGATCCTTTCCGGGCCCTTTTTGCTTCTTGTATCCCATCATGCAGCCCACAATATTTTGCCTATCAAAACAGGGAACTCCGATTGGTACAGTGACTGTGTTATTACCTCCTGAGCACATGGGAATGACTGAGGCTAGTACCTGTTGAGGGGAAAGCTTAGCTTTTTTAATGTAGAGGGTTCTTCTTTTCTTTAGTTTTAGTTCTTCTTTGGAGGAAAGGGTAGTTTTGTTATTACTCTTGCTTACTGGTTGTACTTTGCTGTTCTGTCCTCTCTTTGATAAACTTTATACCAATTGAATTTTTAAAAAAATCAAAAAGGAAGTGAAAATCACTAATGGGAAATGAAGGAAGTTTAGTGCCATGATTTCACTGTATTCTTTTCTCTCCATTTTTCTGTCTGCAGGCAAAACGGCAGGCGATTCTCCTTATTCCACACGCCTCTGTTTACTGGCAGTCAGCAGGAACATGGTTGTTAGCTGATTGGCGGATCACTTTCCGGGGATAATAATCCCTTCAAAACAATAACAAAAATAATAACTCAATCCACGATTATTTGAGGGACACTGCTGTGTGCAATTGGCTGCGTTTTTGCCTACAAATTCTACAGTCAATTCACTTTATAGTATATTCCGAAGTGCTTTGAGACATCTTGAAGACGTGATAAGGTGCTATATCAAATGCAAGGATTATTATTATGGCAAATTGCAAAGTCTACACTGATTTTTGTGAAGACAATTTAATTATTTTTTTAAAATAATTTATGTGTATGTAATTATCTCATATATTTCTCTACATACCTGTAAAAAGACACCCAAAGCTATTTCTTTCTATGCAATTAATTTTCCGTCCAATTATCTGCTCCTCTACCTGAAGGCATTGACCCGGGATGACTAATTTTCCCTGGCTGCCAGACACCCTCTGGAGTGGCGCCCATGTGATCACTCTGTGTGGGCCTTCACACTTAATGTCAGGTAGTGTTCAACTGGGGGGGGGCGGGGGGAGGATATTATGCCTAGCGAACTGAACCGATTGTGGAGTCCCGAGTATGGTTTAACATGGGGATGGGTTTCCACATGTGTCAGACACCTGGCTGACCTGCCCTCATCCCCCCCAACATGGTCACCAGAAAACTCCTTGGCCACCAGCGCTTAAAAGCATCTCTTCAGGTAAGTCTCATGAATTCTCTGAGTTCATCTGAATCATCTGAGACAAATTTTGCAATGAAACCATTTGAGTTCCATTTGGCGTCTGATCAAAGGAGAAATTATTCAGAAAAAGCACCTAAGAAAAGCACAAAATAAGCTATTTTAGAGGAACATACTTGCCAAGCTGACAGTAATAATAATACTTAGGTTCAATACAGTGTCAATGGGATGGATTCCCGACTTCAAGGGCGATATATAAATGGTAATTTGTATTGTATTTGTAACGTGTAGTGACTGTATTTTGTTGATGAATGTGACAACATGCGGACAGCAAGAATAATAAACATTTGATATAACGGCTTCGACATTGAGAGTACGTCCCAAAGCACTTCACAAGATCTTCTATAAAATGTGCAGTGACTGTGTTTTGTGGGCAAATGTGGCAGCCAATTTTCTGCAAACAGACATGAAATGAATGACCAATTTTATTTTGGGGATTGTTGGCTAGGCCATCAAAAGAAACGCCCTTCTTTTTTTGAATGCCATGGATGTTTAATGTCCACCTGAACAGGGAGGCGGCCTCAGTTTGACACCTCATCCGAAGAACGTTGTCTCCAACAATGCAGCGCACCCCAGCACTGCATTGGAGTATAATCTTAGCCTACATGAGTTCCAAGACCCTCCTGACTCAGAGATGAGAGTGCTGCCAACTCAGCCAGGCTGACACACTCGTGGTGACTGTGTGGACAAGACCAGAGAAGGGGAAGAAGGCAAGAAGGAATCTTTAGCTCAAGCGTTGCCTCTGGAGCTGATGGTTAGTGGTCTCTGGAGGCATGAGGACTGCCTCACTTCTCACTGCAAATACACAGCAAGAAATCGTCCAGCTTCTCAGTCCAGACACACACTTTAAAGGGGAAGATTAATGGTTTACCCATTTCCACCTCTGCAAATGCTAATCTGTTATTGTTCATCTAGATGGGCCACTTTAACACCTCATTATTCATCAATCATTAGAGTGCAGTAAGTCACTGGTTCACTCCCAAGTGGCTTTAAGCAGTCCTAAACGGTCCCATTATCAAAATAATATTAAAGACCATTAAAGGCTTTTTTCATCCAATCGCTCACTTTCATGTCCTCTTGAGGATCTACCAGTTTAAGAAGGCAGGACAGCCCGTAACAGTGCCTTTCCAATACACTTTGGTGGGGGTTCAACCTTCATTCAGTTATCTGAGTTCTGCTTTGCAATGAGTTCTGCTTTGCAACAGATAGTTTATTACACAGATAGGGAGATACACAAATACCAAACCTGTCCACCATATGAATGGAAGCCCTTTAACAGTTTCATTCACATCTAAAGGCAGCTGCCGAGAAACACAAACTACCTCTGT